TATCGACCATACTGAGCTTTTAAGACCTCTCATAGCTATCAATTCATGTTTTTTAAACTGCAATGTGAACCAATGACATCAAACAAGTAACGACACATCTAAAGATGACATTTTGTAATTAAATACAAGTGCAATTGAGATTTGCATCATATGACTTCAAAGGACTTGAAAAATATAAGTCTGACGGATGAATGTCTGGATGCTTTTATGGTATTTTGGCATTTTTTGAGAGTGACAATTTAAATGAACTGAAAGATAGAAAGTAAATAATACATGAGGGTGAGTAAATGATGACTGAATTCTCATTTCCAGGTGAACTGTCTCTTTAAGACTGTCCTGCATCTTCACACACTGATTATAATCATCTGTAATGATTCCACAGCGGGACATTTACTAACGTGCTAAACTGCTCACGTCCATCTTGTTGTTAACAAATCGATGTATTATGACAGTATGGATGAAATAAAGCTCTGTTTCCAGCGCCGCACTAAACACAATGAACTCAATGTGCATTCACACTCCCAGCACTCATTAATCATCACAGACGTGGAAAGTCACACTCCTGTACAGGATTTTCCATTGTTTCCATGTAAGTTGGTTCAGTACAAGTGGGTTTTTGGGACGATTCCCAGCATGCACCATCAGCCCTGGGGAACTTTCCAAAGGGTTCGACATTCCTCTGACAGATCATTTGTCACAGAACAATCATTACATCAGATATCTTTGGCTCGTCTGAGCTTCAGCTCCTACAAACTTTTCCATGTCAATGTTTCACGCATATCGTTCTCTATTTTCAATTTCCAAAACAAAGAAAATTATTGTAAGGTTTGAAGGCAAAATAATGACTTTAAGTGTTAATAAATTGCTCAAGATGAATTAGTAATATACATTATAGTTTAAAATTTTGAGGTCTGTACATTTTTGAATGTTTTTGATGTCTCTTCTGCTCACCAAGGCTGCATTTATTTGATTTAAAATACAGTAAAACATTTTGAAATATTATTACAATTTAAAATAAATGTTTATTGTAAAATATAATTTATTTATGAATTTTCAGCAGCCATTACACAAGTCTTCAGTGTCACATTCTAATAACTTATTATTATTATTATCAATGTTGAAAACAGTTTTTGCTGCTTCATATTTATGTGGAAACGGTGATATATTTTTTCAAGGATTTTTTGATGAACAGAAAGTTCAAAAGAACAGCATTTATTTGAAATAGAAATCTTTTGTAATACAGGTGCATCTCAATAAATTAGAACTGTCACTTTTGATCAATTTAATGCATCCTTGATGAATAAAAGTATTAATTTGTTTCAGACGGATAGATAGACTTTACAGTCTACAAAAAAATAGCAAAATAAATAGCAGGGGGAAAATCAAATAAAAATTTATATATGAATTTTGGAAAATACTTATATATTCTAGCAGGGAAAATAACATTTAAATTTAAACATACAGAAGAAAAGAAATATAGTT